AGTCATTTCCTTAGGATATACTAACAAAGTGGAATTGTTGAGCTAGAGCTGCCAGCAAGGGAACACACCCTGAGCACCACGGGCCATCACTGTTCTAAAGCTCCTGATATAACGTGACCTTGTTTAATCGTGCCAAGCACACCATGGGGAAGGTACTGCTTATTCCTTTCCTATCGGGGAATTTTCAAAAGTTTTCAAAGATGAGCCAACAGATTCTCACCAAAGACTGTCAGCCCACCCCAGCACCTCCCTGGTGTTCCATGCAACTGAAGCACACAGATCTATCCCTGCACTCCCTCCCATTTTGGCTTCAAGGACGGCAGTTCCTGCAGGCAGCCACTGGAGTGGTCTGCGGACAAAGAGCAGGTACCACCAGCCCAACGTGTGGTTTCAGCAAACACCTCAGTGAAAAGCAAATTTCTGGTTTGGTGCAGTATTCCATGGGGGATGCAGGAGGCATCGCGGAATAGGAATGACTGAAGATACATATTCTGAAATAGCTGGTAGCCGTGGTGAGGTCCTTTTTTCCTTGGCAAATGGCCATGGGAAAGGAGAAAAAAAAGACCCTTTATTATTGGGCAGCGAATTTTCAATTCCTATTGACTCTTTCACCCAGAGATGGATGCTATGATCTTCATTTTACAGATGAGTTTGTTGAGGTTTAGAGGTTAACAGTCTCCCCAAGGCACACAGTGAGCTACTGTCAGGGCCAAGACCTAACCACAGGTCATCGGTCACCCCCAGAACCTATGCCGACATCACTAGGCACATGACTGAGAGATTCCCCTCTCTCGAGTCCCACAGCAAAGGCTCACCCAATTCGTGGTCAAGGCACAGATGTGGCGTGTTTGGGGGAGGAGGGAAGAAGCACGGCAGATGGGTGGAGCTTAAGGTGCGCCATCAACCCTCTGTGAACAACCCATGAGCTGAAAGACTTCCCTAATATTGTTCCTATGCTTGGTTTGAAAAACACTTCTTTCCAACCAGACGTGGATTTCCCAGGAACTCCAGGGGTTCCCTAGGTTAAAGCAGCCCTGAGTGCCAGTGGCTTCTGCACCTTCCCTCATGGGCTGTGCCCTTTGCCTGGAATGCCCCATCCTCCACATGGAGCTACCCGGACCCCACCTCCTCCGTGAAGCTACCCTCTTCTCTGCAGTCTGACCTTCTGTACTATGCAATTAGCCCTTTCTTTACACTGTTTCTTTTCTAAAATAGACTCCAGGCAGTTTACAACATGCGTACAAGCACAAAAACAGCGAACATAAACAACTGAAATTGGGTGAGGTGGGGTAAAAATTTTATTAAGAAACCCTGGCAGAGGAAAGCGTAGTCATTGAACAGAGGGAGCGTTTCCTCATGGCTTGGGCAAAAAGGAAAACAGTAGAAAATGAAGCATTTCTTACCTAGTAGAAGAATGTAGACCAGCTACATAGGAAGCATGAGACTCAAGAGACTTGTCCCCAAAGTCTTTAGCTAAGGGACGCCATACAATGTAATGACTTGCTGTGTAGCAATTTTACCCGAAAGAGATCTATGTGGCCTGAGGGTGTCCTAGACAGGACCTGGGACTAAGTCTTGTCTTGCTCCCGCCCTGTGACACACTGTCTTTCTATTCCTGCCTGTTGTCTGCTGGGGACACCTCATCCTGACTGGGCACCTGAAAGGAGCCTTCTGTGAGAGAAACCCAGGTCAACTCCAAACACAGAGCTGCCGCATTCCCACGACGTGAAGCCAGCGTTCCCTCGGGGTTGATGAGCACTGCAGTGCCGTTAGGCGTATGGTGAAGTAGAGCCAGCACACGTTCCTGCTGTCACCCTTTCCAGACCTGGGCAAGGGCTGGTTCCAAGAGCTTTGCAAATCCAGTACCATGGAGCTTTAGCACCTACCGCAAAGAAGGAAGCAAGAATGACAAAATAGAAAAAAGCCTTACCTGAGGTAGCACTCCCCACGCAGGTCCTTCGCTGTAACCCAGCAAACCTACTCGAATTTCTTCCTTCATTCCGACCCAAGGCTCACAGGCTTCTCTGTATCGCGAGTGCCTTGAGAATCTTTCTCCTCTCCCAGCAAAGTGTCAAAGCCATTGGCATAGTGGTTAAGAGGCCGGGGTGTGGAGCCACAGACCAGGCTCACTCTGGTTCCGTCATTTCTAGATGTATGAACCTCAAAATGCACGCACAGAACATGGAGGCAGTAACAGTGCTTACTTCCACAGAGATATTGGTAAGAATAACACATGTGAAACCTACCACACAGTAATAATTAATAAACTATTATTAATTATGAAAATACAAAAATACAGAATTCTGCACACAATTTCAGAGGTCCATGGACTTCCAGGGGATCTTCAGGTTAAGAATCCTTAGCCTGGTTCCTAAAAGTCAGGAAGACAACAGGTCTTGCCAAGGCCTACATTTTCTCTGAGAACCGCATCAGCATATACTGAGCATCAGCTGTGTGCCAGGAATCCAGGCCCAGGCGAGGAGCTTGGTCACCAGTTTTGGCAGCACACTTGGAAGGGCAGGAACCATTTCCATTGTACTGATGACTTGCCCAAGGTCTCATGGTGGAGTGGCTGCTGACATTCGTCTTGACTCATTTAGCTTTCTTTCTGAGAAAAGGCTGGTGAGGCCTCCTGAGGACTGAGGCTGCTCTTCGCCCCACTCTGTTCTGTCTGTGACACTTTGTGCACATGAGATCTGAAGGCACACACCCTGGGTCGTCAGCCTGGCAGTGACTTCTTCAAAATCAGTTCTGGCAGTGTGTCCATGAGTAAGAACTCTCATCCGGAGGGGCCCTTCCTGCTGTAGAGCTGTGCCAAGTCACTACATCATTTTAGCAACAAAATCAAGTTTGAGACCTGACTCTGCCTCTTACGTGTGACCCCGGGAATCCTACTTCACTGCTGAGTCTTGGTTTTACCTGTAAAATAACACAATGACAGTTCCAACCACCTAGGGTGCTTTGTGAGGGTCAAGTGAGGTCATGGGTGTGATGCCATCTCATAGTACCTGATACATCAGTCCTCCAGGAAAGGTAGCAGCTCTTAGCTCATCTAATCTTGGTTTCCAGATGAGAAAACCGAGCCCAAAGAAGTGAACAAATAACAGCTCACTGGGTCTTTTTTCTGTTTTCTTTCAACCAAACCATGCAGACTTTGAGGCTGGTTTGACAAATATTTCCCCGTGTGTTGTAATGATGATCAAGGAAGGGAAGAAAATTTTCAAGGGGCATTTACATAGCTCAGGGAATGAAAGGCCAGAGCAAATAAGTCATGTTGACACCTGAAAATGACTGTGCGGAGGTGAGGAAGTGGGGAAGCAGAAGCCAGAGGAGTTGGTTCAAGGAGCAGAATTTAATATGCCAGCGACAACTCTGCTTCTCTCCAGTAAGAGCCGGAAAGAATGGGGGCGCCTCTTGCCAAGCTCCCTCTAGTTTCAGGGAGATCAGTCATTTCCCAGAAACCTCACTGGCAAAGGCAGCCCTTCCAAAAAGCACAAGAGCTTCGGTTTCGACAAACGATTTAAGCTCATTTTTGCAGGGGAAGAAATGGATCTACAAAGAAGCAACCAAGGGTATTCAAGAGGCATCTGAAAAGGCAGCCAAAAATCTGGCTTACAGATTAGAAGCACTGGCTTTTCTGGCTGTGGATAACCGTCCTCTCGACACTTATCCAGCCTGGCAGGAAGCAGGTATTTGGATCCAACTGACACTTGTCCTGTATCTGTCATGTGCCAGGCTCCAGGCAAAAAGCTCCTGCTTATAAACTTCATGTAATGCCAATGAGTCCAAGAAGGTGGCATTACCAATCTCTGTTTCAGACAACAAGAGTAAATGACTGGCTGGGATTTGTTGTATATCCCCTGAACCCCAGTGCTGTCTTCACTAGACCAAGCTGCCTTGTCCTTGGGCTCAAGAAAAGCCTGCATATTAGCTGAAGGTCAAGAAGGTACAGGCTCATCTGCTCGGTACAACTTGGACCTTCCAACCCCACGGCTTCTAGAGACCACAGGAAGGGCTTCCAAGCCAGAGCCAGAATTCTGTGTCATTTTATCAGCCCAGATCCCCTCAAAAAACACGACAACAGGGGATACAAACTTTTACAGACTTTATTGATTTAGGGGCCAAACAAGGCAGCATTTGGTCAGTTAAGAAAGGCACCTCATTGAAAATAATACATCACAGTGCTGTCGAGTGATCCCGGTCACAGGATTTGAGGATAGGAAGGACAATCTTTGGTCCCTGATGTTGCTTAGGACACTTGCTCATTTATTTCAAGGGTCCTTTCACACATCGTGGTTGGAAGAAGGCAAGAGCGCAGGACTGTGGCACACGTTGGCTGGCTGCTGAGAGCTTACCCAGGAGAGCAGGTGGACTGGTAAGTCAGTGGCAAGTCGGGAAGGGAGTGAGACCGGCATGCCCCGCCCTCCCCATGACTCCTGTAAACTTGATTTGCTGAGCCACTGAACCCACGAGCACACCCCAGGTCTCTTTCAAATGTGGAGATGACTGTTTGATCTCATGGTGTGGGGAAGGTCAGCAGTGAAACCCTTCCTGTCCCAAGCTATAGGACAGACAGGACAACAGTTTGATTTCCTGCATTCCTGGGCTGGCAACCCATGAGGTTCTGAGATAAAAGCCGAGGACTTAGGGCACTGGCTTTAAAAAACACTGTCAACAGTCCAGAGTAAATGAAAACTTGATTTCTTAGAAATAGTTCTGCACCTCCCTAATTCTACTTATACCCTCCAATCAGTATTTTTAAGAAAAATTAATTACCTATACTTTATAAAACTCCTTCTATACGGAGAAGAAATCGCCTCACTACAACGCTGCTGCTCTTCCGACATTTTTCTTGAGCCCCTCGCCATTCTGCATTCTCCCTCCTTTCCCCTGACCACCCCTCCCCTCTGCCCAGCACCTAAGAGCAGGATGACGCGGCAGGGTGATGAGCAGTGGTGCAGTCTCGCCTGGCCTTCTGTTACTAGGCTGAAATAGAGAGGAAACAAGAGAGAACAAAATGGGTTTTTAAAAACCAAGTAAATATCAGCGAAGGCTGGCATGCACGCCCCAGCAACCAAAATGCAGTGAACCCTGGACACTTTTCTGCCAGTGAAAGCTCTCATGCTTGCTGAGGTTAAGGCTCTGGAATTAAATGAAGCAAAAATCAAATCATAACCACCCCCCAAAAGGCATCTGCATCCCCCATGATCTTCTAGTTTTCACCGGCTGCCCAAATATCATACACACACACCTATGTGTGCATGTGAATGTATACGGATGGATGACAAATATTTGCACAAGGATCATGCACAATAAACAAACACTCGAGGACCTCAACTTTGAAGCCAAGGGCCTGCAACTGTCCCCAGTCAAAGAGGAGTAGACTCCAAGATTCATGAAGCCACCCTCTTCCAGAGAAAGATCCCAGATCCCTGCAGACAGATCTGACAGTTTTGGTTTCACTCCTTTCCCTTGCCCATTCCCAGAAGTCATGTGCTTCTTTCCCAGAAACACCCCACGCCAGACTGGGCGGAGTTTACAGCCAGGGAAACAAGGCAGAGCAGAGCCAGCAGACACTCACTTGAACCAGACAGAGAAAAGCAAGATGGCCACGTACCCATGCCCAGCTTCCAGGTGGACAGAGGACAAGCCCTCTGGTAGTCCCACAGACAGCAGGAGAGCTCAGGTCAGATAGGGACTGGACACTTTAGAGTCACTGCACTGAGTCAGCAGATTACACTGGGGCAGGCAGCATTATTTACTGGACCTGCCACTGATTTTCTAATGGTTTTTCCAGAGGCTGCTGTTTTTGTGGTCCCTCACAGTAGTCTATTAATTCATCTGTTTGCCACAAATCAAACCAGAGACCAAAAGGCATAGCATAGAACCCAGGAAACGCGTACGAGCTGGGGAGCTGAAGTGAGGCATAAAAGTTGATCACTGTCATAGGTGATCTTATTTTGGGGTGATCTTTGCTTGGGGAGTCTGTGGCCACTACCACCATGAAGTAAGGGGTAAAGGATTGGATCTGGAAGGGAGAAGATCTGAGTTTAAAAGGTATACATCTGGTTTGGATTTCATATCCTGCAGAGTGACTAGGTTTGAATAAATTCTAATCAAAATGAATCCAAGAACAGACCACTTCCAAATCACTGTTTTGTTCATCCTTGGAAACAAGAGGCAAACATTAAAAATTAAAAAAAAAAAACAAAAATTAAAAGAAAAAATAAAAACAAAATCCACTTTGGGGAAGTAGATTGGCTGCTCTTAGATACCCAGACAGTATGTTCAGAGGACAGTCTGAATTCAAATGGACCTTTCACTTGGTTAAATTCTTTGGCCACAAGTCAGTTTGCAAACACGGGTCCCAGATGATGCCTACTTTACAGAACCACGATGCAGATCACAAAAATATTCCAACTTGGCCTGGCTCTTTCTATGGTGACACCCTCTCCCGGTAATTTCTGGAATCTGTCATGTAAGAACCTTCTGATTTCCATTTAGGGGGAAAAAAGAAAAATCAATGATCCCTGTCCACATACTGACTCATGTCTTTTCACTGTGGGCTAGGAAACAAGTGGAATTTCCTGCCAACAATCTGCCATCAGGAACTTCGGCCCTGACTGACTACACTTTACCCTGGACTTCTAGTCAACTGTTGGACATGGGATAAATAACAGGGAATTGGGGTGCCTGGCAGATACCTGAGTTAATTTATTTTGGTGAAAAATAAAGTCAAGAGTATGGCTAAAGAAGTAAACAGTAAAGCAAACTCACCTGTAACTTAGAAAGTGGGAGAGTGTACATATACCTATACCAATGCGCGCGCACACACACACAGATGAGATGAGAGTTGCACACACGCCAAAGATACATAAAGCAAGTGCTTTTTTTAATCAATACATCAAATGATATTCTCACTGGCCTGAGGAAGCTTCCCTCTACCTGCACTGCCATTCCCACCCACTTCCTCAACAGCGACAGGAAGAAGAAAGAAATTTCCTTTGTGGACCCAACATTAGATAAACATAACCAAGTCTTTACATGTGGCTTTGGAGAAGGCTGCTAGGATGCTCGCAAATACGACATCAGGGGTCTGGGATGCGTCGATGGCAGAATGGATCCCCCGTTTCCTGTAGTACTCCACCAGCGGGGTAGTTTGAGTGTGGTACGCCTCCAGGCGGATTTTCAAGGCCTTCTCATTATCATCTGATCTGCGGATCAAGGGTTCCCCAGTGATCTGAGAATAGGAAGAAGACAATAAAAGGCCAGGACTGTTAGCAAGGTCTCCTTACCTGATACCAGGTGCAGACTGGAGATGCTCTCTGATCCCAGTCTATCAGAGGGAAAGACAGACAATCTCAACCCTCCCCAATAAAGAACTTCACGACTCCCAGCAAGTTGGTCCCAGGAGCAGACCAACTGGTCCAGAGAAGTCAGGGAGCCTGAAACAGCAACCGAGGAAAGGGGCTTGTGAGGAAGATGGGCAATGCCTTTCTCTCACAGCCTTTGCTCAGGCTGTTCGGCTTCTAAGACGAACACTTCTAGGTTCAGAAGCAAGAAAGACAGAGGCCCCTGAGGCCAGGCCAGTGCATCAAAATCAGAGATGCATTAACCATTACAATCTTCGTTGCCTAAATATTTTGTGTTTTGACTAGGGTGTTGGCCATTAACATTCGGAAAGTAGCAAGCGAAGTGCGAAAGAACTCTGAATGGTAGAATTAGTTACTAACTGTGTGAAATGTGACTAAATGAAGGCTTTGAAACCTGTATGACCTGATGATCTTGTCCCATATGACAAAGGTAAATCCAGGAAATTCTTACTATTCCTGCATGCTGTAAAACAGATGAAATGGACCCCTGATGGCAGTCAGTGATGTACAGTGAGCACGTACGAAGCCCTTCCTTTAACACCTGCAAGCTGTGGAAGCCTGTCATAAGAACTCAGCAATGTTAATTTAGCCAAAATATTCTCAATGTGTAGGGCACAGTGAAGTCACAGGACATTCTTCTGAAGTAGGTCAGCAAACTCCTCTTCAGCACTATCTTCCCCACCCACCCTGGCTCTAATTCTGGGCTTCCGAGCAGCCTTCTGATTAGTTGACCGTTAAGGTTGCCAGGATGCCAGAAAGGGGCTGCTCTGGACAAAAGGCAGGCACAAACTTGGCACTGGTAGCCAACCACTGGTAGTCAAGCAATAAACCACTCGGAGAGACATTCACCGGATGGTGAGTCATGGCCCATGTGATTTACACGACAGCAATATTTCTCATGGTTAAGTTAGTAATATTGGTAGACATAAAGGGAAGATGGAAAAAAACTAAAGGAAAAAAAAAAAAAGCAAAGGAAGAACGGGGAAGGAAGAAAAGGAAATTTCCTGTCCAGAGTTTACATACATCATCTTTCATGGGCTCCTTTGGGGGATTGAACTCCTCATGGTAGGAACGGCCACTCACGGGGTGAATCAGCCTGAAAGACAGCAAACGAACACAAGTCAGGTGGCCTGAAAATATCCCGAGCCCCAGTGTCTCCAAGGTGACAAGCGGGGACAGAAGCTGGATGTAAGGACTTTAACCCAGCAAAAAACACAGCTATGGGCACCTCTTGCTTAAGAAAATAACTGGGCTGATGCCAGAGTGAGTGTGTTTTTCTATTCTGACTGAACGTTAAAATGAGTGTCTGGCTGAAGAGGCCAGCATCACTACCTAATTCAGGACTTGAGAAAGGAATTCTGGGGCTGGTCTCACGCTGCCATTCATTCACTTCACCCATTCATTCAACAAACATTTAATTTACTAAGTACCTAGTCCAATTCAGACCTTAAGCTAAATCCAGAGGCTAGAGCAACACGTCAAGATCCCTGCTCATAGGCAGTGCTTAATTCAGTGGGGGAGACAAATGTGGAAATAAATAACTACAATGAACGTGTAGTTTACTGTACAAATTTCTCCTCTAACAGAGATTTGTACAAAGTGCTACGGGAGACAGAGGACAGAGAAACTAGCCATATTTTCTAACTTATTTTTTATAAACCCAGAAAGGTGCTATTGGAAAAATAAGTCCTATGGCTGTAAACACCACACAGAGAAAAGAGAGCCCAACCATTAGAGAGCAAAATTCAAGGAAAAACGACTTATTAAACAAGAAACATTTATTCGGCACTGAATATGTGGACAGCTGTCTGTGCTGTGCCCCCTTAGGCAACAAGCCCGAGTTTCTGGCTGGGAGAGGCCGCGCCACAGACCAGAAACCTGAGAAGGGAAGGAGGCAGGCCATACCCAGCTTAGCTGCCAGGGCGCAGCCTGCTCGCTCAACTTTGTGTGGTTTCCCAATTCTGTGCAAACCAAGGTCTGCATATTTAACTGACGGCTGCTCTCCTCAAGAAGGTCTATTAGACCAGAGAGTCCCAACATTTTTCACCTCTTGGCACACACAGAAATACAGTATATGGGGTGCTTGCTCCTCCAGGGGGTTGTGGCCACCCCAGGCCTGCCCAGCTGCTCTGATGGCTAAGGGGAATCAATATCTCAGCACATCAGTTAAGAAAGTCTGTGTTAGACTATCAAAGCCACGACTTTGTAAAATGTGATGCTGAGTTTCAACAACAGTGCATTTTTCCGGGGCCAAGTGGTCCATTTAAAGCCTAAGGTGGTCCATTTACAGCACTGGGAAGGGGGGTGAGGTGATGGCAGAGTCAATTAGCTATACGGAGTGGGTGCGTGACTACAAGCTATAAGGTGAGGATGGGCCCCTCCTTTGGGTTGTCGGAAGGGTTCATCTGGTGCACCATTGGGAGACCCAGGGAGAGAGAGAACACAGGCCACAGCTTTCCCTTTGGGAATGGTGGGGGCATAAGACGTGGACCCTATTTCACCTTCTGAAGAGCACAGGGCACACAGCAGCCAAGCGGCAACAAACATGAGTCTCTCCTCCCCACATCTCTACATGTCTTGCTCAGTCCCAGATTCCCTCAGCCTTCCAGTTACAGGTAACACACTCACGAACATCATTTTAAGAGAAATGCAAGGCTCATTCCCTAGAAGGAAAAAGAAAGCAAGCCCAACCTCTAAGTTCTCAAAATGGAATTGGTCCCAACTACCAACTGAAACAGCTCTGAGTCGCTGAGCCTGGCCTGGAGGTGGAGGTGCAGATGTGGAGAGATAAGCTGGGAATCTACAGCCATGGCTACCTGGAGTGTGACACTTTGGACATCTGTATTTTCATCCACAAATGGGGATGGTCTGAGACATCAGGCTAATGACACCAGAGAACCAACTGGTAGGATAATTAGGATACTAAAGAGCCAACACTGAACGCAGAAACCACCAACCATACTTATTCAAGAATAACGACTCACAAAATTATTAGAAGGGAGGTCTGAGCTAATTCAGAAGATATCTACAGTGGGGTCCTGGTCACGTCAGATTTAAATAAGGTCCACATTAAACCAATGAGTTCCTGAATCTTTTTCTGGCCGAAAGCAGGCTCCTGGTGCCAGCTTTCACTGCTCTGTAGAAGAACTTGGAACACAGCAGTCGGGCTGGTCCCATTTCCTCCACGGTGAGGAGAAGGCCGCACTAAGCCACTCGCTTCCAATCTGAGGGACTGAGTCATCTCTCTTTCGCCCTCTACAGCAATCCTGTGTTTGTTCTTCAGAATCTCTCTGCTCCCCACCAGTCAGCCCAGAAAAAGGCTCGATCACTTCAAGTGTGGGTCACAATCAGGTTCCTAGGTGCGGTCCTTGTCTGTTTCTCCTTACCCCCAGTTTAGCCTGTATGCCAGAACCAGGCTAATGTTCTTAGAATGCTGTTTTTGCTACAGCGCCCAGTGGCTTTTAACATCGCCTGACTCACGACTCTGTCACGTTTATCGTCTTCACCCTGGCAGACCTTTCTCAGTCTACTTCCCATCGTACTTTCCCCACAGCACTCATTCTATCACCCAGTCTCCCAGACCTTTTCTCCAGCTCCGGACAGACATTCTGCCACGAGTTTCAGCTAAATCCCCTTCCCCAGCCTATGCTTGCCTCTGCTCCATTTTGGGAAAGCCACGGAAATACTCACGATCCAGGAAGGTCAAGTTTGACAGTACACCTCTCCTAGGAAGCATCCCCTCCCTGCCCCCAGGCTCTCTTCTTGGACTTCCTACTACACTAAACAGCCTAGCTTTCCAGCCTGGTTTGTAGACCCTCTGAGGTTAGAAATGAGAATCATCATATTGGTCTTCTATATCCTCTCCTGGTCGCCCGTCCCCGAGTCTATCCAGTACTATGCTGAGCACAAAGCAGGCACTCAAGAAGCTGGGCCGACTGACTCAAAGCCCCCTAGTGTCACCTAGTGCTGTTAACATCTGCTTTGCGCTCCAGGGGCCCCAGCCCCGGTGATGTCCCATCCTGTTAAGCCTACTGCTTCTTGGCCTACGTCCACTTTTTCTATTCTGTGCCAATGGGAATGCAAAACAAAACAAAAGTTCCTGCATTGAAGGAGCCTATGGAATAACTAGAAACATGAAACCCAGACATTTGAAAAGAAAACTAACATAAGGTGGATCCCGCTGATTCCGATACAGCCTTATAAGCAAACAGCTCTAACGCTCACTCTGCTGTCTATTTACATGTCTGCCTCGCTTCCTGAAGATATGGACTGCAGACATGTGGAAAAAAGGTTCAACTTCGTTAGGAAATCAAAGAAATAAAATTTACCAGAAGAAAGGAGTTTCTCTCTAATTAAATCCAAAAATTTACATGTATTATGATGGCCATAGCATCAATTTAATAGTGAACAAGTGGAAGAAACACAAATGTACAACCATAAGAAAAACGGTTAAGTAAATGACAGTTTATCGACTGAAATATCACACAGCAATTAAAAATAATGGTCATGGACGTCTGGTTCCATGACGTAGGCTGACCACCTTCCTGAGATTCCATTAAAATGACTAAGGGATAAAAAAGCTGTGACCCACAATAAAGAAGAGAATGGGAGGATATATTAGTGGTTGAGAGCTTCCAGCATATTTCTGGAAGGCACAAGGCAGATGGAAGAGTGACTAGTGAAAGAGTAAAGGAAATTGTAGCCTAAAGCAGTGATGATCTTTCAGAAATCTTGAAAATCTTGTTTTCAAGATTGATTACTATAGAGAAAACAAGCACTTTAAAACAAAACACACAACAAATAACAGTGGTTTTGGCTAAGGTGGCTGAACCATGAGCAAATTTTCCCTCCATTTTCTAAGCTTTGTATAGATGGTTGTATTATTTATATAATTAAGACAAAGCCTACAGCAAGGTATGGCAACTCCAACCGAGATCAGATTAAAAAGCACTAAAACAGAGGTATACATGTAAAGAATTTACCATTTCTTAAGCATCTACTGTAAGTAAGGTTCTGAATTGTGCTCTTAACTCTGTTATCTAACATGCACAATCGTTCCTCAAACAGGTATTTCGACCCCTACTCTGAGTATGAGGACACAGCCTTAAAGAGGTTGAGACGCTTGCCCAGGGTCAGAGGAAAAGGGAGACAGGACTGAGATGCTATCTGACGTCAGTTCCCTTGCTCTTCTTTCCACATCCCATCCCATGTCACCGCTCCAACGGATGTCACCACATCAGATCAAATCCATGCTGAGATGGCACCAAGCTCCACGGCTGGGACAGGGCGAGAGCAGTTCCCATGGCCTGACAAAGCTCTGAGGAAGCAGGAAAAGAAGGAGCCTTCAGGGGACAAATACCTTCCTGTGATTCTCCGGATCAGCAGCGAGTCTGGGATGCAGAATTCAATCACAGAATCAAGCTTCTCTTTCCTCTTCTCCATGAGGTCATCAAGCTGTAAAAGAGTGTGGCCCACCTAAGCTACCAGAGCTTGAGCAGACCCACTTCCCTCAAAGGAATTATGAGACTAAGGGCCAGAGTTCATTATCATGCATGCAACGGTGATACAAAACCAAGCCACTCACCATTTCTGCCTGCCTCACAGTCCGAGGGAAGCCATCTAGAAGAAAACCATTTTTGCATGGAGGGGTGTCCAAATTCTTCTCAATGAGCTCCACTACCATTTCATCGCTCACCTGGAAGTCAAGAACAAAACAGCCTTGGGTTTAAATCCATTAACTAGGTGACATTAGCCCAACCCACAGGTCACAAGTTTGTGTCTGCATAGCCTGATTGCTGCAGGGGAGAATAGGGGTTGACCAGAATGCAGAAAGGGTCCAACTTTCCCTTTACAATTTGATGAGGCTCACAGTAAAGTGACCCCGACCACCCTGGACATGAGGTAACAGAAGTTTACTGAATTGGCAAGACGGGGTTAGAACCAAGGAATTGAGGAGCCAGCCCAACACACCTCTGAGCCTCTCTAAAAACCCCAAATAGGACCCCTTCCAGCTTTCAAAAACTGGTTTACCTCTTGGGCATTCACAGAAAGAAAAGTTCCCTGCCAGTATTACAGTGAAGGCTGCCCCACTTGGTAGCTCATGCTCTTATCTCCCGGACCAGCTGTGAACTTGAGGACAAAGTATAAGCTCGGCAACTAAGTGAAGGCTGGAGATAAGTAATCTCATTGCCACATCCCAACTTTTCTCAGTACAGGATCTTCTGCCAAGACCCAAAGTCCAAAATATCTAGCTTTCTGGCTTGACTCAAGGCCTCGCTGACATGAAAGGAAAGCTAGAAGGGGCGGGTGGGCAGGCAGGAAGGGGTATCATTCGATATAGCCTGACAGGAAGTATAACTCAGCCCCTTCCCCAACCAACACGCTGAGTAAGACACGACAAGACCAGAGGGCCAAGCACAAAATGTCTTCTGAAGGTGATTCCCAGAGGCCAAGTCCCAGAATAACTCAGTTACAATGAACCTCTGGCACTAATCAAAGATTTATAAAGTAGATAATAGATTGTGTTTGTCCTATCAGGTTAACTGGACTAGAAACAAGAGAAAATATTATTATATCCCCCCAAATAAGGATGACTTCTGTCAACTCTCAAGTGAGTGCTATTAGAGACACAGTCACAAAAGCAGATTTAAAAACACTCTGTGGCTTTGAGTTCTCTCTTGAATACATCCTTGAGTTCTGGCCTAGGGATGGATGGCAGTTTCATTTTTGGCCCGAAAAACTGTGTGTATTACAAAATGCATCAGCACAAAGGAACTTCAAGAATACTGTGAATAAAACAAGAGCCATAAATTCAGAATGAACCAAATAACATGCTCCTCTCAAAGTTCATGTAATGTGCCCTGTAGCACAGGGCTGCCCCACAGAACTTTCCACGATGACAGAAATGTTCTATATCAAGTGCTGGCTAGCGAACACTTGAAATGTGGCGAGTGAGACCGGGGACCTGAATGTTAAATTAAATTGAATTTAAATTACTTTCAATAGCTAACATGTGGCTGGTGATTACCATATCAGGCACTGCAGATCTAGAATGAGGAACATCAACATTCACTGGCACCACCAAACCTACCAGTTTCCCGGCATCCATAGTCGCCTTCAGCTTTTTCCCCAGCTCTGAGCCAGAAGCCACCATGGCCCTCAGCATGTCCCCCGTAGCCAAATGGCAGACACAAAAGTTTTTGGCCAATTTGGGTGCCTGTGGAGGGGAAGACAAAAACCAAGATACCGTAACCACTGCAGGGCCTGGAGTCAGACTTGCTGCGTGTGAACCTGGCCCTGCCACTTACTGGCTCTGTGCATTCTGGCAAATGCCTATTTCCTTACCTGTAACTGGGATAAAAGCACCTCATATTCTAATGTATAATGATGATAAGGCTATATAGTAAGAATGACATGAGATAATATATGTAAAGCTCTTACAACAGTGCAGTGAGCACACAGGCAGCTGTCATAAATATTAGCTATTATCACTACTTCCACTAGACACATTAGTGACACATAAGCCTCTGTTTCCCCATTATAAATGGGAAGAATAAAAATAGCAGTGTCAATACTTCACATGGTTGCTGTGAAGTTTAAGTGAGTTCCTGTGTATAAAGCACAATGCCTGGCTTGTAATGTGTTGAATGAATATTTGCAAAAGGAATGAATGTGACTGTCAAGTGCTGTGGCCACTGGCCTGAGAGGCAGCTGGGGCAAGGTTAAGAACACAGGTTTCTCCCAGGCACACCCAGTTCTTCCCTTTCCCTGTCACTAGGTAGCTACATTATCATGGCCAAAATTTAACCTCTCAGGGGCTTGGTTTCCTCATCTGTTTAAAATAAAGGCAAAAAGGCTCCATCATGGAAGACAGCTGTGAGGGTCAGACGAGACATCTACAAAGAGCACTTGGCACAAACAGTAATTACTTAATATTAGTTTTAGGATGCAGTATAGCCTCTTAGTTAAAATCATGGGCTTGAGAGCCAAACTGCCTGGGTTTCAGACTCCAGGTCTACCAATAGCTAGACAGATATATGACTCGAGATGAATTATATCACTTTTCTAAGTTTCAAATCTCCTCTAAGTAAAAGGGAGATGGTAATAGTACTACATACACCACTGGGTTGATGAGATTATACAGAATACGGCATATGCAGGGCCAGGCACATAGTACGTGCTCAGTGAACACTAGCTGTTACTATGACCCCTGCCCTCATTCCATACTCATTCATAAAGGAAACACCGATGCCTCTTCCAAGAACCTTGCTGGGAGCCAGAAAAACATCAATAGGAGACACAGACCCTTGTTCTCCACGAGCTCAGTTTGGTGGATTATACATCAGAATGAAGACTAGAACAGGAAGAGACCCTGGACAGTTCAACATTGGTTTTGTAGTGGCAAAAACCTACCCTCCTCCCACCTCACCCCCTCCGGAAAAGAAAAAAAGTATAGAACTCACAAGGAGCAGAATCAGTTTAAGGAGCTTAATACTTAGTTTTCTGGCTCACTGGTTTTATAAAAAAAAGTAGGGTTGGATCCTTGTTCAAACCAGCTCACTGGGAGTTTTCTTAGGTGCATACAATAAAAGCTTAACAGATGGGACTCAATGCAGCAAATTCTGGTTTGTGATTCATGGAATCATTCAGTTCAAGCAAAGAAATGACTTCATAGCAAAATGAAACCCAGAAGAGAAGGTGTTAAAAACTGCACTTTGGAAAACCAGTGGTCAGAACCCTCTGGCAATGGAAAACCATCCAGCTGTCCAGGCTGGCCTGGTGGCCACACACCCAGAGAGAGAACTGTGCTTTTCTGCCAATCTTTCTCGCTGGTTGTTGAAATTAACTTGGGTGAAAAATTTGGAGGTTAGGCTTGTTCAAGGGGACAGGCTGAGCAAAACACCAGAGAAGAGCTGTTAGCACAGAATCTAACTGTTCTATTTTTATCCCCCCAAAACTACAGGACACTTCTGTGCAATCCCAGGTGACTGGACTCTACAGCTACATGAAGGGTGCTACAACAGAGAAGACATGGGTGGCACAGTGGAAGACTAGCTTCTTCATTTCCTGTGGGCTGCAAAGAGGAGGATCTTGGGAGTCAGACGTGACATGAATCCTGGCTAAGGCACACAACAGCTGTGTGACCTTGGGCTAGTTACTTAATTTCTCGGAATCTCAGTTTCCTCACCAAAAGGGGATATGGGGATAATGTCTACTTCATGGGGGCTGTTATGAGGATAAAATGAATAAAGTACCCAAAACATCAGACATACAGTAGGCATTCAATAAATGAAAGACCTCCTTCTATGGTCTTCCTTTTTTTGTATTACTCTTTATTGCAAACTATAGAAGCCTGATTAAATAACTTTATTATATTCTTCTCACATTTCAAGTTTACTTATGCTTCTCCTACTCCAAATATGTGTGTGTGTGTGTGTGTGTGTGTGTGTGTGTGTGTGTATTGCTAAAATCCAGAATGATTCCATAGGGTAGGGCCTGATCCCATTGTTTTTTTTTTTTAGCTGAGCCATCCTGCCACATGTTGGCAGATCAGCAGCAGCTCAGCTCGGGCCGGGAATTGAACTGCAGTCCCTGTTGCTCAGAGCTCGCACTCTTGAGCGAGCTCTTAACCAACTGAGCCACTCGGCCAGCCCAAGATCCCCTGCATTTTTAACAAGCTTCCAGGCCTGGCTGTGCTGCTGGCCCCTGGACTCTGTTGCTGCTGAAGCTCTGAGCCATGTGTCTCACTATCCGTCGACCATGCTGTGCCCAAGAAATAGGCTCATCATTTCTATGAAAACCCAATGGGGAAGAAGGGCTGGGTAAGAAAGGCCAAAACCACTAGGGGGGCAGCATGGTGGGTTTAGTGTTCTCAAACTTGAGTGTGTTATAATAATCACCTGGAGCACTTGCTGAAAATACAAAGCCAAACCCACACTTAGAAGTTTATGATTGAGTGGTATTCAGGGCCCCGGGGTTCTGGTGCAGTCTGCAAAGCCCTGGGGCAGCGGCGCCAAGACTGGGCTTTATAGTGGTACAGGTTTGGGATGGCACCAGATCTACAGTTTCCTCACTGTTATCATCTTGAACAAGTTATGCAGACTTTTTTTTTTTTTTTTTTTAGCTGAGCCATCCTGCCACCTGTTGGCAGCTCAGCAGCAGCTCAGCTAAGGCCAGGACTCGAACCGCTGTTGCTCAGAGCTCGCACTCTTGAGTGAGCTCTTAACCAACTGAGCCACTTGGCCGGCCCTATGCAGCCTTTTTAAGGCCTCAGTTTCTTCATCCCTAGAGTACAGACAACTATGTCCACTTTCAGAGCCGTTGGGGGATTTAATAAGATTGCATATGCAAAAACATCCAGCATAGTGCCTGGCATTTAGGGAAATAAAGGGGCACTGTCAGTTGTTCAGATTTGATTTAATCTCAAACTCACTTGTTTTCTCACCTTGAAAACATCTTTCTGCCTCCAGTCTTTCCAGTTCCCATCTCTAATGTTCCTGGCATACACAACTGGAATCATCTAAAGTATTCTTGGACATGCTACCCATCTCCCCCAACATACACATTTAGGAGCCTTCAACTTCTCCCCAGTGCAGTAAGGACTCCAAATATCTTAGCCTAGCACTCAGTGCGTCCACAATCAACTTTCTGAACCTCCCAAGCTCTTCAAATTTACCTCCACAAATCCCCTTATGCCCTGTACCACTGCAAGCAGCTCCCCTACGTATGATTCCCCAATACTTGTCTAAGGATCTTAGCTCAAAGCTCCTCTATGCAGGAATGCCCTCCCCCTGCCCCCTACTGGTCTAAACTCTACCCTTCCCTGTAGTCAAATTCTGAGCACATCTCTCCCCGCCAAAAAAACTCCCTTTTTATCCCTTCTTCCTCCAAGAAGTCGTTATCAACACTAGCTCACTTTGAGTGTTTGCAACATGCCAAGCAACTTTTTCATGAGTGGTTTTATGGTTTTTACACAAACCCTTGAGGTAGGAACTATTTTTATCTGCATTTTACAAATGAAATTCAGAGACTAAGTTGCTCAAGATAGTAACAGCAGAGCTGGCAACTGGCCTCAAGACTGTGGAGCCTTGGGAAGGGTGTGTGTGTGTGTGTGTGTGTCTGTGTCTCTGTGTGTGTGTGTGCACATGTAAGGGAACACGAGGAGTTCACAGTGCTGGTGATGTCCTGTTTCCTGATATGGGTATAAGCTACACAAATGTGTTCACATATGTGAAAATTCATCAAGCTGCTCGCTTATGACCTTTGCACATTTCTCTCTATAATATACTTCAATAAAAGCTTTTAAAAAGCACAGAAACCTGTGTTTGAAATTCAGCTCTGCCTCTTAATTTACCACGTAATCTGAGGCAAGAGATTCTTTGAGACTATTTCCTCATCTATAAATTGGGGATATTAGTACCAAAATCACTGGGTGGGTAGAAAGAATAGAAGACTGTCAACAAATTATAGTTCTTGATCTAACCCTGAACTATCCTAGCATCTGTCAGTCACTCATCTGCCATTCCCCACATGGTACTCTGCTCTAGTATGAATCGTTCGCATGCATGTTCATTTCTGCCTCTACACTGAGATTAAGAGCAACAATATAAGACAGTGACTGCTGCTCAAGAATCAGACAGTCATGAGTTCAAATCCTGCCTTTGCTGCTTTACATATATCCTGGAGCAAGATACAGCCTCTGGGCCTCAGTTTACCAGTAAAAAGGCATAGGTAAAAACAGGACCTACTTCCTAGGGTTTTAGGCTTAAATAAGAGGACACATGTAAAATCTTTGGCTGGGAGTGGGGTCTGTTACATAACTGAGCAAAGGGTGACTATTTTGTAATATTACACCCCCTTGAGGGCAAGGGCCGCTCTCTGCATCTCCAGCACCAAACTTACCCAACAAAGCATGCATAGGGTAGGACAAAAATCTAACCCAGGGCAGCAGATATTAGCAGAAAGCGGGTGCTTTGGAGTCATTCAAGTGCGAGATCTGCCAATTACTTGCTAAGTAACCTAGAGAACAAGCGAGCCCTTTGAACTTCAGTTTCTCTAAGTGTAAAAAGAGGAACAAGAGAGGGGGTCTCACAAAGTTGTTTTGAGTATTACTGCCCTGACATAACTGACAGAGCCTGACCTGCAAGATGGTAGCTAGTTGCCTAAGGGGGCCTGGCCTTGAAGAATTGGCATAAATTGGACACATGAAAGAAACTGTGAAGAGGGCCTGGCAAAGAAAACACGAAACACACCTTGGTTTTGGCCACACTTGTAGGACTATCCAACCCCAAAAAGGAGACAGGAAAGTAAGGAAATTTATATAAATAAGAAAACAAACCCAAGTATTCTAGATGTTTTAAACATCATTATGTTGATGCAAAGGCAGGTAGTTTAAAAGTGTATAACTCTTTTAGTTAAAAATGAGAAGTTTTAATAGGAAACATTATTTCAGTCATGCCAACATAAAATACATAAAATGCTGAGATATGCAGGTATAAAATGATGTTCTAGTGGGAATAAAACCAACATTACTGAGCAGGCACGAGGCACAAACCCAAGTTAGGGATTTTACATCAAAGATTGCAAACAGTTACCAATAGAGGCCAGGCAGGCAACACAAATGAATAAAGTGGGTCAAATGTAAGCAAGAAGCAGTGAAGAGGGCTATGCAGGGGACAGGAGAGAACATGAATCATCCAGAGTGGCATCGCCACCAGGTCTGACTTCTCAAGAGAAACTGGAGCTCTGGATTTTTAAGCGAAATTTCACAACTGAAAACTCTATGTGGTCAACTTATTATTTTGAAAGTTGACAGATCAAGCATTTATCTTGCCTTTTCTTACAAACCATGCCAAACAGTAGGTGAGAAGTTTTTTTCTCTTCATAGAAATATTTCAGCTAATAAACAAAAAGAATGATATAATTAAAAATCACCATTTTGCCACAGTGAATTCCTGGACCCAGGCACTGAATATCACAGACAAGCAGACATGATGTGCCTAATGGATAGCACAGCACCACCTGTGACATAGTTGGGCCAAAAAATTGAACTCAAATCTGGTTAAGTGTATGATCAATCCATCAATTTACAAGAAGTAGAGAGGAAAGAGGAAGATGTTAAATATGCCCTGGGGATATAATAAAAAGTTCCCAGAAAGAAGGATTCTCCCAGGATAAACAACCCAGTTTCTTCCAAAACAAACAAACAAACAAACAAAAAACCTGCAAGGAAAAAAAAGGGGAACCTGTAAATTAAGAGACTTACAATGATCACATCTGTGAGAAACAAATGGAAATTAAATACTGGCTGCTATTAAAAATTGTTAACTTTTTAGGAGATACTGTGCTTGTTTACACAATAAAAAAAGGATTTGTCTTTTAGAAATACACACTAAAATATTTACAAATGAAACATTATGAAGTCTAGGAGCTGCTTTAAAATAATTTGTGAAAGGAGGGTGGGTGGGGAAGGAATGCCACCAGCTGACGGTAGCTGGGGCTGGGTAATGGGTACATGGGGCTTGTTACACCATCCCATCTTCTTAAGTGTATTCAAACTCTTCATAATAAAAAATTAGGGTGTGCCTGGAGGTTAAATGCTGCTGTAGGTTGTCACTTTGCAACCTCTGATTTATGAACAGTTTTTATTTTTTTTAACTCCATAAAACTATAACTACCAGTATTCCTACTGTTCCACATTGGAAAGAAAGGTGTATAGGTTAAGTGGCTTGTGTAAATCTTACCCATTCTTCAAATCCCAGCTCTAATCACATTTCTTCTACAAAGCCTTCTCTAACCAACTCCCATGATATCTGCACCCTTATAAATCAGCTCATAAATATCACTTTCTTCAAAACTTCCTGAATATATCACCCTTTACACTGAAATACATCTGAATTGGGGGAGGGGGAAAATGTGTTATTAAGATGAGCGAGTCAATAATTATTGAACATCTACGTGTCCGGCTATCATCTACGTACCTACGGGTGCTTTACACACATACATAACATAATCTTCCAAAATGCTTGTGAACTTTTGGTCTACATGGGAGGGACTTACCAGTCTTACTTACTGTTCTATCTCCAATGTTTGGTGCTCATGAAATGTTGAATGAGGAGGGTAGGTATTTTCCCTACTTTTCAGGTGAGAACACTGAGGCTTGGACGTTACAAAGTTTGCTAGATTATAAAGTCATTGTCTTAGCAATGGGGTGGGTTGTCCATTTCACAACTACTGAAATAATATTAACTTCAATATGAACTAAGAAAAAAATAATTGACGCATTTAACCCTGTTTATACTCACAACAAAAGTCTGCAGAGTCTGGAATTAAAACTTATTAAGGTTGCAAGTTACCTAATAACTGAAGGTGGTAGCAACAGGAATCAGACTTCAGTGTTACTGAAGGTAAGGGGATTAGGAATAGTGAGCTCCAGGGACGAATCAGCTCTGGCTATAAACAGAGAAAGGTAAGTGGTCCTTCTTGACTTAGTACCCAGAGCCAAAAAGCAAAATCACAGACATGAACTGAATCTCCCAGACGTCCCTTCTCATCACCCACATGAATCTGTGTCCATTCATTTCCAGTAACCCCATCAAGTACAAGTAATGTGTTGGATGCCCCAGGAGTCCCAAGAATGAATAAGACAAGATGGTCTGTTTGCCAAGACTTTGCAAGTTTAAGAGAAGAGTGGGCACAGAGCAGTCCCCAGAATCCCATTCACTTAGGAGCTCAGACTTTCTGGAATTCCCTCTTTAGAACCAAATACCAAGCAAGAGCCTGGGGTCTGGGAGGCATTGCCACATCCCAGGCAGGGAGGAGACATGGACACTCCAATCTATGGGCTTCCAAGTCCTAAATGAGATCATAAATCCCAACCTTGACTTATGGGCCCTGACATTCCAGATACCAAGTGAGGCCCCAGCAGTCGTCTAGGGCAGAAGGTAACTTCAGACTTCAATTACCTGGAGCCCCATGGCACCTGAGGTTCCAGGCCTCGTTAGTCAATTTTGCTAACTTGCCACCTGACCTCTCTGGGCCTGTTTTCTTACCTGTATTGAGGTGCCCTCTCCCATTCCGCCCACACCCCAGCTTAACCGGCAAGCAGGTCATTCCTCATTCTCTTAGCACATGCCAACTCCCACTCTGCCCTACGTACTGGAGGTGCTCCTCCAACTTCAGTCATTAGTCATAAGAAAGGTTCCCCTACCCAAGTGCCTGGAAAATTCACTCCCAAATCGGAGAGAATCTGGGGTCCCTGCTTCCACTCAGGCTGTAATCTAGATGCCTCAGCCCAGGGCTCACCCAACCCTTCAAACCCTCTCAGCTTCCCTTAAGGGATCTAATCAGTCGTTAGAGCTCCTGACAGGTCACCTCAAGCCTGGATCCCTCAATAACCCTAATCCTAACTCAGACTTCGCCGACCTCGAATTTGGACCCTCCCCAAACGCCTTGCCAGAATCCCAGGCGTCGGCCAAAGTCCCCCAGGCCTCAGCCCACGGTCCCGCTCTGGGGCGATCCAGACCTCTGGCCTCCCTGACCTTGGAGTTCCATGGGCTCCGCCGTCAAGGCCGGCCCTGTAGCTCACCTGGGTACCCTTGCCAGCCCCGGGCGGCCCCAGCAGCACGGCCCGGATACCTTTAGGATGCTCTGGGGCCGGTTCGGACGCGGGCACATTGGGAGCCATGGCCGCCGAAGCCTCTCACTGTTCAACCCGCCAGTACACCTCTCAGGTTCAGCGCTTCCAGGCCAGCGCTACACGCACGCCACGCACGCCCCGCTCCCCGCTCACATTGGTCGGTCGACATGTCCGTCAGTCCCTTCCGCCCGCCCCTGAGCGCGATGGAAACTTTAACTTACCAACCACGCGGCGATCCTGGGGAAGACTACTTTTCATTGGACAGAATCGGTGCTGGTAAGGAAGGGGCGGGCTATCATGGACAGAGGGCGGGGTGGGGCTCGTGGCCAGTGTGCGGAGGGGCGGGAAAAGGTGAAGCAAGACAAGGGGCCCTCTGGGAGTTCTAGTTCGGCTTTTGACAGTTAATGACACCGGCAACTCCGGTGATTCCTATGAAATTGCCGTAGGAGTGTAAATGGGTGAAATCAGTTTTAGAAGACAAGTTGGCAATATGTATCAAATACCCTTTGGTCCAGCAATTCCAATTCCAGGAATTTAAAGGCTATAATCAAGGATATGTTGTAAAGATGTATGTAACAGAGATATTAATTGTAGCACTTCTAACAGCCCCCAACCCCAAACAAACAAACAAACAAACAAACGAACAAACAAACAAAAGGTAATATCCCAATGTTCAACAGTAAGAGATTGGTTAAATAAATTGCAAGAAATTTGTATACTGGAATCCCCCCATTGGATAAGATATTTAATCACCTGGGAAAATGTTCACCAAACAGGATACAAAATTGCAGTTATAACAAAAATCCCAATTTTGTTTGATAGATACAAGTGATGATCTATGTATAGTGCGATTACAGGAGCTTCTCTCCTTCTCTGAGCATTTTTGTATTTTCAAAAAGTTCTGTAATGAATTCTGTAATAAATGGATACTACTTTTATAATAAGAAAGCAACCTTTTAAGTTGGGTAAAAAGGGATGATCTTCTCTTGGACAAGGAAATAATTTGTACAGCTTTCTGGTGTGTGAAAGATTCATCAACACCCCCTATGAAGTAACCCCTGAAACTCTGGCAAGACCCGCCCCAAGGGCCCCTTTGGACCTCTAGTCCAGAGTGTGATTATGAAACAATTATGTTTCCCCACAGGCTCACAGCCACTCATTTTCCAAACCCTGATAATGAATTTGCTATCCCTTCAGCTTGGTCTCTTCTATCTTACTTAACAAAAGCAGTTCATGTTCATTCCTCATCTCCACACTGGACTTCTTTAACATGCCTGATCTTAAAGGAGGCAGGAATTGTTATGCCCATTTTTCAGGAATATGTAGCGACCAGCCCAAAGCCACACAGTATCAGAGTCACAAGACTGGGAATAAGGGAGTGCCCCCAGAGAGCAGTGTTCATGGGGATGGTGGTGAGGGTGGGGAAGTGAGCTTATTTTCTCTGGAGGAAGCTTCTATGTGGCCAAAATTCACTTCAAGCCAAGAAGACCAGGGTTTATCAAGGTTTGCTGTGCCCAGGGCACCAGGCAAGGGGCATAGGAGCAGTCTTCCCTTTCTGCCAGTAATCCCTACAGTAATTCTCACCAGGCATCAAACCTCCAGGAAGGAAAGCAACTAACACTACACATAAATACACAAAATATAAGTTTTATTTATTCAAGTTTTAAAAATGTCCTATGCTTTGGAGCATACTAAGGACTATAAAGGGGATATTGAGAGCCCAAGGGGAAGAAGGGAGTACCTCATTCATTTATTCACTCGAATATTAATTTTTAATTTTATTGGGTACTACGTGCCAGCACTGGGCTAAGCACTTTACATGCGTTGTCTCATTTAATTCTCATGACAAACTACATGAGGTGACTACTTTATTATCTGCATTTTTAAAAAATAGAATAAAGTAAGGCACAGAGGGTTAGCCTGTGGCTGAGCAGATTTGAACTCAGGTCTGTCTGACTGGCTGGTGCCCAGCACTGCCAGGTGACAAAACGGGACATGGGACTCACAGTGCAGCTGGGTTCCATGGAGGGTTCATGGAGGGTTCTGTGAAATAGAAGGACCTTGAAGGATACAGGGGATTTGGCTTTGGAGTTGGGGACATTTCAGGCTAAGAGAACATTGGAAGCAAACCATTAGACGTGAGAGAGAGTAGGGTGTACTGTGGGTTCTATTCAGTGGGCTTTGGGGAATCGGGAAGTTTCTTAGGTAGGACAGTCATGAACAGATTCACATGTTCTAAGGATCACTTGCAGGACAGACTGGAGAGGAAAGAGATGAATGCAAGACGAGCTAAGAAATACGTTTGCTAGGGCCGGCCGAGTGGCGCGATGGTTAAGAACTCGCTTGGGATGCCAGAGGGCCCCGGTTCGGATCCCACATATGAGGGCCAGTGACACTGCCCTCCACAGCTAAGATGCTGAACAACAGCTCAACCTGGAGCTGGGCTGCCGTGAGTCGCCGGCGACGGCATGGACTGCAGTCCCTGTGGCAGTGGATTGCCATGGGCTACCGTGTGTAGCCAGCAGCCAGCGTGAGCGGCCAGCAGCCACCGTGAGCGGCCGTCCAGAAGCCGGCGACTGATCTGCCTCGCCAGGGAAGAGCGCAATGATGGTGCCAACTTGGGCCAGTGAAGCAACATCCTCCACAACTAGATTGAAGAACAAAACGACAGCAACTTGTCTGTTCCCCTTCCCCCAATTCCCCAGCACTGTTCCCATCCCCCCAATTCCCCAATAAAAATCTTTAAAAAAAAAAAAAAAAAGAAATACGTTTGCTAGTGTTTTATGGTAGGCAGAATAATGCCTCCCCAAGATAACCACATCCTAATTCCCAGAACCTGTGGCCATATTGCCTTATATGGCAAAAGGGACTTTGCAGATGTGATTAAATTAAGGATTTTGTGGATGAAGAGATTATCCTGGATTATCTGGATGGGACCAATATAATCACCAAGGTCCTCATAAGGATACCAAGAGAGGCAGAGGCAGGAGAGCCAGAGATGGAGATATGAAGACACAGCAGAGGTCAGAGTGGTGGGATTGCTGGCTGGTAGGATTGCTGGCGAGTCAAGGAATGATGGCAGCCTCTGAAGCTGGAAAGGCAAGGAAACAGATTCTCCCCTAAAGCTTCCAGAAAGAACACACCTTCTGCTGACACCGTGATTTTAGCCCCATAAGACTCATTTTGGACTTCTGACCTTCAGAGTTGTAAGATAATAAATCTTACAATTGTTCTAAGCCACCAAATTTGTAGTAATTTGTTACAGCAGCAATAGGAAACTAATACAGTTTCATTGGATGCAGGCAACAGAAATCTGACTATATTTAGTAAGAAAGGAATTCATTGGAGGACACAGTTGTACAACTAACGGCCTCAGGAATGATAGGGGCCAGGGCTACTTTCATAATCTAGATATCAGGAACAAGTGGACAGTGCTGAGGGGAATATTTATTCCCTCCTTCAGCTTTTTCATGTGGAGGGGGCCTCTTTTAGAGTAATACCCTTGCCTCTTGTCTTCCCCCTCCCCCCATCTATCCTCCCTAGAGGAAGAGGAGGAGGAGTGACCTATCTAATTGGTGAGTTTGGGGAGAATGAATGGGGCTCAACTTAGCTCCTTCTCCCTCTTGCTTTTTCAGATCTGCCTGCCTACAAGAACCATGTTTTTCTGCTCTCTTCCTCCATGTTCTAAATTTCCCAGGGGCTAACCCCCACAGGGAAGACTATGATTTTCCAGGACTGCTTGGGACCGGGTGAAGAAGATTTCAACTTTGGGATTCAGTATTAGTAAGCCCACTGTCCATCAGACATAAAGGTATATCTCCAACAGCTTTGTCAATAATAAAGGTGAGGGCCGGCCGAGTGGCGTGTTGGTTAGGAACTGGCTTGGGATGCCAGAGGGCCCCGGTTCGGATCCCACATATGAGGGCCAGTGACACTGCCCTCTACAGCTAAGATGCTGAACAACAGCTCAACCTGGAGCTGGGCTGCCGTGGGTTGCCGGCGATAGCGTAGGCTGCAGTCCCTGCTGCAGTGGGCTGCCATAAGCTACCATGCGTAGCCGGCGGCCAGCGTGAGCGGCCAGCAGCCGCTGTGAGCAGCCGTCCAGAGGCCGACGACTGATCTGTCTCACCCGGGAAGAGCGCAATCATGGTGCCAACTTGGGCCAGTGAAGCAACGTCCTCCACAACAAGACTAAAGAACAAAACAACAGCAACTTGTCTGTTCCCCTCCCCCAACTCCCCAATAAAATCTTTAAAAAAAATAAAATAAATAAAGGTGATATTTTGAACTCCTTGTGTCCTTCTGTAGCTACCTCTCATTTGGTTCTAAACTTAGGTGAGGCTACCCCAAAACCCAACAGACAATTTCTCATGGATTCTCCGATTTGGAATGACTCAGCTTGACTGTTTTCTATATCTGTGTCATTCTATTCAAGATTCAAAGTCCTGGCTTGGTCTGGATCCCATGTTTACCTCTTGGCAAATGTGGAGTTCCCTGAAGACTGTAAGGAATGGAAGAAGTAGTTCCCCAAAAGCAACTGATAAGTTTCCAAAATAAAAGGGAGGCGCTAATGGGCAGCAAGAAATGACAGATGTCCACGGCAGGGAGCTCTTGGTGGTGCCATTAATATTAATCTCGTTCATTCTTTAACCAATTCATCCAACGTACACATTATGTGCCCCGTATTGTGTGCTTTGCACTAGAGATCCAGTGGTAAACAAGGAGGTCAGAGTCTCCACCCTCGTAGAACTTCAGTCAAGTGGGGGAAAAAGACAAGTAAGAAGGTGATTATACAATAGTACAGTGATGGAGGCTATGCTGCAGTGAGAATGTAATGGAGGGGCACCCAGCCCAGATTTGAGAGGAAGTGACATCTAAGAGAGATGAGGAGGATTTACCGAGAGAAGAGGCAGGGGGAGGGTATTCCAGACATAGGGAACAGTATGCGTAAAGGCCTGGAGGCAAGAGAGTCTATGGCAGGTAGAGAGGGAGGAACCATGGTACTTTTCAGAGGAATGCCTCCCTTATGTTGCAGAAGTCTTATTCTGCAAAGGGCTTGTTGGGAAACAGCCACATCTCACGTACAGAAGCTGAAAGGACAGAATCTTGCCTGTCTTC